GTTCCTTGCGCTTGCGAGGCAGGCGGCAGAACCACTGAGCTAAATCCCCGGCCCTTACAGAGCAGTTAGAATCAGAGATGGAGTTACCTGGAGCTGGGGAGTGGGGATGGTGAGTTAGTGTTTCATTCCAATCTCAGTTCGGGAAGGTGAGCACTGTGACATTCAAGAATGTGAATATGGAGGGGCTGGGGATTTAGCTCAGTGGTTCCACTGCCTCACAAGCACAAGGTCCCGAGTTCGATCCCCGGTACCAAAACAGCAAAACAAACAACGACAACAACAACAAAAAAGCAAATGGATGATGCAGAAAATAAATAAAAATCAGTGTCAGCCACTGTCCTGGGTGCTGATGCTATTTGCCAGTGAACATCCACGCACGAAGGATTTCCGGCTTCCACTTGCACTCTGGGCTGCTCCACTCCAGTCCTAGCTTCGGCTGTGGGTCTCCTCCACCGTGGAGGAGTTTCACAACCTCTCCTTCACATTTAGAGGAAATGTTTCCTGGGGAAAGGACAGGGCAGCAGGGCATGAAGCACTCACTGGGGTTGGGGAAGTGACTTGTTGGGGTTCGGGAGACAGTGGTTAGGGGTTGGATAAAGAAAAGGAGCAAAGAGATCAACTGCATGAACTTGACCACTTCCCTCCTTCCCTCTGCATCTCACCAGAGCCCCTGGTTCTGGCAAGGCACATCCTAGATCAAAGGAATAGGGCTCATTCTCTGACCTGCCCGTGAGCCCTGTACCGAGTCCACTATTTCTACCAATGCCACCAGGAAGCCGGTCCCACTGGCAACCTACCCGTCGGCTCTTCGCCCTCTCAGCTCTCTGCAAGTGTGTTCAGGTTACTGATCAGGCTGGAGAGAGATAAGAAGCGACACCCACTGCAGTGGTCTCCCCACCATCCTCCTACCACCCTCTCTGTTCCCCCTGGTATTTCCTCTTCTCTCTCTTTTGCTCTCTTTTTTCTGAGACAGGGTCTGCTATGTAGCGTGGGCTGGCCTCTACTCATGCAATCCTCCTGCTTCAGCCTCCAGAGTGCTGGGAATGCAGGCCTGTGCCACCAAGCCTGGCATGCCTTCTCTTTTGTTTACCTTACCTCCCACTCAGTTTTTTGGTTTTTGGGTTTTATTTTGTACCGGCGATCAAACTCAGGTCCTTGTGCTTGTGAGTCAGGCAGCAGAACCACTGAGCTAACTCCCCAGCCCGCCCACTCACTCTTTGACTCAGTCCGCTTTGCTTCCATTTCAAGCTTCGGCATAGAATCGAGAGCTGAGGACTAGATGCTCCGTCCCCCAGGATGCTGGGCTGCCACCTTGGGAGTTGCTTGGTGACTTGAATTCCCTGGGAGAGGACACCTCACCTACCTCTTTCCTCTAAAGAATTCCCCTGTGCAGGACTAGGGGGTTCAAGGCTGGAGGGGTCGGAGCAGGGGCAACAGATCCCCAGGGAAACCTTCCACTCCCTAAATTCGCTTCACGACAACCTCTGGTAACAAACTAGTGGTTAGGGCTTGGGTCTTCTTGCACTTAACTCAAGTCTCCCTTCAGCATCTTTTGCCTTTTATTGGCCGAACTAGAGCTTTCCTGTAGCAGAGACCCTACTCTGAGCAAGGAAGGAAGACAACCCGCGGGCTGGAAACTCCTACTACTAACAGTCTGATGAAAAGAGCTCTCTAGGACCCAAAGGGGCTGCCCAGAAGTTTTCTGAGGAGCTTTGGCTGCAACTCTGCTGTGAACGACCAGCGTGAGGACTGGGCTGGGCTCCTGCGTCTGCTTCAAGGATGCTTCTGGACAATTTGCCCACTATTTCCTTAGCATCTGTGATTGCGTGCCGCACTGGGGACTCGGCTCCGGCCCCCTCAGTGAAGTGGCCGAGAAGCAGCAGCCGTGGCCGCCTCCCAGCGGCTCCAGCTGTAACCAGCTCAGAGTGGTAGGCAGATCCCAGCTGTAGCCTGCAGAGACTGGGCAGGGCTGCCCCAAGAGTCGCCCTGCTGCCGGTGACTCAGCGGGGGATGTGGGAGTGGGATTCTTGGGTCTGAAGGATCAGGATCAATGACAAAGAGAGGTCCAGAGCTTTTGTGCAAAAGCCAGGAAACAGCCTATCCGCAGGGTTGCAATCTAATGAATTCACAGTAATTCCATTAGTGTTGTCCAGATCATCCCCACAGGTTTAGCAAAAGCAGACCCCCTACTCAAGGCTCCCTAAAATGCAGGCCAAACCAAAATCTTAATGCCACACCACCAAGGCATCCCTCTTTCCCTTGTATGCTACCCACCCCTATCCCAGAGCCCAAGCGACTACACAGAGCATCCAGAGACCTGTGGGTGGAGATTTTCTTTTATTCACTTTGATTCTGGAGAGGAAAGATGGTGTCAGCACCCTAGGTGCTGGAATGACCCCCCTGCACATGCAGAGCACATGGGCGTCCACTGTGGATCAGCCACTGATGTGCCCGTGTGGCCCATGAAGAAAATGTCCCCAAGGCTTCAGATGTCCCTTCCCCCATTTGTATGCATTTGAAGACCCCCACCCCATACCCCAGGCCACTTTCTGCTCTGGTAGGATCAAAGCCCCCCACCCCCAGCACAGAGTTGCATCGCCTGGACAGACGGAACCACACAGCACGCTGGGCAGGAGACAGCAGGCTTCCCTGGGCCTCTGCCACCAGCTTGGGAGAAAAGCTGCCTTCTAGCACAGTGATGAGAGACTAGAAAGAGTGGTTGGGCTATGCCAACTTTACCAATCCCCCAGGGCCCCGGACAAACCCATTTCTTCCCCTAGGAAAAAGACATTTGGGGGGTAACCAAAGAGCTCAGGGGCTAGGGATTTAGCTCAGTGGTTCCACCGCCTCTCTCACAAGTGCAAGGTCCCAAGATCAATCCCCAGTACCCCCCAAAAGTAGAGCTCTGTGGGACCTTCAAACCAGTATTTTCTTTGTGCTCAGCTTCTGTTCCACCAAGGCCTCGTGCAGATTTCTGATGTCTGAAGCCCCCTACCGTGGTTCCAGGCCGCCCCCATTGTCCATGGACCCCATGGAATGAGCAGGTGCCGGAACCCCTTACCACCCCAGCCGCCCTGCCTTCCCCCGGGGAAGCCCCGGGTTTCTCTCAGCGTCTCTCCCCATGACTTGCTGTGGCGGCCTGGCTCGGAGATGTCCACGTGATGGGACGAAGTCAGGGGCCTTTGCTTTCTGTCCTCTCCTCATCAGCTGTGGGAGCGTTGCTGATGGTGCGAAGCTGCCCCTGGGCCGCGGGCTTCACAGACAGGACCAGGCGTTTGCGGAAGGTCTCACAGAGCACGATGTACACAAAGGGGTTGAGGCAGCTGTTGGCGTAGCCCAAGCTGATGGCCGCATTGTATAGGTAGACGAAGGTGAGGGTCGGGCGGCTGATAGACAGCTGGGTCAGTTGCAGCACGTAATAGGGCGCCCAGCATACAAAGAAGACCAAGCAGATGGCGATGGCCGTGCGGGTCACGCGCTTGGTCCGCAGCCGGATGCTGCGCTGGGAGGCGGGGGCCACTGAAGTTGTCATGCGCTGCAGGATCCTCACATATGCGGCAGTGATGACAACGAAAGGCAAGGCAAAGGCCAGGAAAAACTGGTACAGGGTGAACCAGTAGAGGTCAGTGTCCGGGTTGGGCAGGCGGATGCCACAGCCCACCGTGCCCCCCGGGAATGGGATGAGTCTGGCATAGAGCCACACTGGGGTGATGCTGATGAAGGAGAGGGCCCACAGGAGGCAGATCACCAGGGTGGCCACCACAGGCTTCCGGAACTTGGTGGAAGAGATAGGGTGGACAGTGGCCAGGTAGCGGTCAATGGCCATGGCAGTGAGGATGTAGGTGCTGGTGAACTGACTGTTGGCGTCCATGGCCGTGATGAGGGTACACATGGTCTCCCCGAAGTGCCACACCCCATTGCCCATGAGCTGATGGATCATGAATGGCATGCCCAGGAGGAAGAGCAGGTCCACCACGGAGAGGTTGATGATGAAGATATCGGGGACATTGCTGCACCAGTGCAACTTGGACTTCTTTACGACCGCGAAGATGACCGTGGAGTTCCCCACAATGCCCAGGAGGCAGATGGTGCCGAACACCGAAGGCATGATGATGTTGATGTAGGAGACACTGCCTGTGCGTGGAGGGGACCCTGGTGACAGAAGGAGCAAGCGTCACTCGTGTGATGTGGATTCTGCTCTCGGGGCTGACATCCTGCCGTCCTGCTCAGCCCGCGGTGGCATCTTGCTTCCCTCTCATCCTCCCTGCGATTTCACCATTCATCCGGATTCTCTCCCTCCCCAAGCTGTTGCTAATCCTGTCCCCTTGTCCTCCTCCACTCTTCTCCTGGGAATCCTACCAGATTCTCCTGAGCCACCTGTTAGTTAAAGGCTCCGGTCCTTTGCCTCCTGCATTTACTCTCAAGACTCAGAGTTAAGAACAACAGCTGGAGCCAGGCACGGTAGCTTGTGCCTATAACCCTTGTACTCCAGAAGGCTGAGGCAGGAGAATTGCAAGTTCAAACCCAGCATGGGCAACTTAGTGACTTAGGGAGACCCCATGGCAAAATAAAAATAAAAAGGACTGGGGATGTGGTTCATTGTGAAGGCCCTCGGTTCATTCCCCAATACAAAACAAGCAAACAAACAAAAACTCCACAGACCTATCTGCTGAGAATGACTTTGTGGGTCCCTGGGCTTCACCCAGAAACCTCATCATAAAAGCCAGAAGGACATGGGAGAGAGACAGAGACAGAGAGAGAGAGACAGAGAGAGAGAGAGAGACAGAGTGAGAGAGAGTGGAGGTGGTATATATACTTTCTTTCCCTATCTGTAGCCCTGATCATTTTGTTTCAGTGAGTGCAGGTTACATGCTGGTTCCTGGGCATCTCTGGGTGACTGTCTTGTAGAGACATCTGCCAACTATGCTCTGACCAGGCTTGCAGCCCTCCCAGCCCGAGCTTCCCATCAGGGATTTCCTTGCTCAGTATCCCCAAACCCTCCAAGTGGAGCAGAGACCAAAGCTGAGCATCGCAGCCGGGCAGCCTGGCCATTTTCTCCATACAAACCATTCCTCTTTTCCTTCCTTCAAAGCTAGAATCCCAGGGCATTGCAGATCTGGAAATGTCAGAAAGCTTAATTCACCAGAAAAGTTAATCCCCTCATGCTCTGCAAAGTCTTCTGCTTCCCACAGCCTCTGCCAGGGGGCAGTAAAGATGTCTCCGACCCCTTTACCCCTGTGGGTAAAGAGCAAGGGTATCCTTGAATGAAAGAGCCTCCTGCTGTCTTCTCCTGCTTGCTTTTCCAGTCTAGATTTTTTTTCTTCTTCGTCTTCTGTGAAGCATATTTGGAACTCCCGAGCGAGCCTTCTCCTCCCTGCCTGCTGCCGGTCACCATCCCCTGCTGCCACTGATTGTGCCTCTGCCCTGGGCTGGGCTCCTGCCCCTTCTGCCCTGCTCACCCCTGTCTCCTTCGGTCTCCCCTCCAGGCAAAGCAGACTGCAGATCTTCTCCCCGAGAACTATAATAAAGTTTCCCAAGCAGTTTGGCTCAGGGTGAAACCTCCCCAGGAAACACCCCACCCCCAGCCCAGAGATGGGAAGACTCCCCTCCAGCTCACCCGGGGCAGTGAGGTTGTCTGAGCCATCGGAGACGTTGCTGGCATTGGGGCCAGTGGGCAGCAGCGCGGCTTGCAGGTCCATGCAGCTGGAGCAGGTTGCCTGCGCCCCCAGAGTTGAGCTCCCGTCCACCCACGCAGGCTGCGGCAGCCACCAGCTCCCTTGGCCGCCTGGTCCTGGAGCGCACCCCGCAGGCTGGAGGGGGTCTTCCTCGGCAGCCTGGCAGCCTCTGCTGCCTCCCAGCCCAACGCTCTCACACTCCCTCCTTCCCGGCTCCCACTGACATCACCTAGACACATTAACATTCGGAGGCAGATGCACGTTAACCTCTTCAGTCCCGGCTCCCACTGCTGCTGCCTGCAGAGGCTGCAAGGGTCTGGGCTCCAGCAGCCCCATTCGGGAGGGGACTTGCTTCCCCCAGGCTTCTGCCGCTGATGCCTGGGCTCGCTGGGGCTGCTGCTTGCTTGCTTGATGTCTCTGCAAAGGCACAGGGTAAAGGCAAGGAGTTGCTTCACTTTGGACCGCCTAACTCCAGGTAAGGGAGGTTGGGCCACGTGTCAGGAAACAGAGGGGACAGTTCCCAGAGCCTGGGACGCAGAGGCTTGCACTGCAGCATGTATACCCAATGTACACCCTGGAGGCCACCCTTGGCCCCTTGCCCTGTCTTGATGGATCCTAAACATCTCATCTCGCTGTCTACACTGCCAGCATCGTGACCAGCCGTGGGCTGCTGAGCCCTGGCCTGGCTCTCAGAGATGACTCAAGTCACTCCATGACTCCAGGGTTTTGAGAGCCAGAAAGGATAAACTGTCATCTCCACAGGATCAGCCTGGACCAAGCTGAGGGAGGTTTCTTTTTTCCAAGCGCTCTGAGGTCTTTGAGTCAAATACAGCACAAGAGCAAAGCCTACAGCAAGATTATTGGGGTGGCCTAGTTTCAGTGGGCACAAGCACTCTAGGATTCTCTGCGGAGGCATCTGCTGCCAGCTCCAGAAATTCTTACCGTCAAGGGCTGTTACCGCACCACAGCCAGACTCAGGGCCAGAGTCCTTTGTTGCCACACAGAAGCACTGAGAGTCATCCCTGTAACCCCTCTAGTCCCTAGTTCTTCCTAGTGTCCTGGGCAGAGTCAGTGTCCCTGCCAGTATAGTCCTCCCATTCTTGGCCTCCTGGTCCACCGGCGCGAGGAGCCTAAATAAAATGAGATGATAGCCAGGTGCGGTGGTGCACGCCTCTAATCCCTGCAACTAGGGAGGCTGAGCCCAAAGGACTGCAAATTCCTAGCCAGCTTGGGCAACTTAGTGAGATCCTGTATCAAATTAAAAAAAAAAATGCCAGGGATTTAGCTCAGCGGTTCGGTGGCCTGCCTTGCAATCGCCAGGACCTGAGTTCAATCCCCGGTACCAAAACTGCAAAACAAAACCAAACAAACAAACAAACAAAATATATATATATATCACACATATATATGGGTTGCGGAACACACACACACACACACACACACATACACACACACACACACATGTATATATATAATTTGGGGAGGGGGGCTTCCGGGGATTGAACTCGGGTCCTTGCATTTGCGAAGCAGGCAGCAGAAGCACTGAGGCAAATCCCAGCCTCTAAGTTGGGGAATATAACTCAGTAGTGGAATACTTTTGAGTTCAATCTCCAGTACTAGAGGGAAAAAAAATATCAAGGCTTCAGTGGAACCCTTAGTGCATCCTTTGTGATGCCCCCTGACCCGTGCATGTTGGAAAAAGGGTGCCCTCTGTGCTTCATAGGAAACCCACTTAGCTGGTAGGATCTCTGGTGCCATATAAAAACCCTGTTCTACTTCCAGCATTTTCTGACCTCGTCATCAAAATTCTGCCATCCAAGGGGATGGGGAAGTGAAGACTTATTTTTAATGGGAATAGAGTTTCTGCTAGGTAGCCCAGGCTGGCCTCAAAGCCATGGTGATCCTCCTGCCTTAACCTTCTGAGTGCTGGGATTACAGGTGTGCACCACCGTGCCCAGCTCTAGAGCTTCTATTTGGAACAATAGAAGCGTTCTAGAAGTAGACAGTGGCAATGGTTGTGCAAAATTGTAAATATACTTAATGCTACTGGATTGGACACTTAAAAATGATTAAGGAGAGCCAGGGATTTAGCTCAGTGGTTCTGCTGCCTGCCTTGCAAGCGCAAGGTCCAGAGTTCTATCCCTGGTACCCCCACAAAAAAGGATAAAAGATAAAAGAGGCAGAAAAACACGCTGCTGTTAAAGTCTCTTGGTCTCTTGTTGCTTTCACTACCTTCTGTCCTCCACAAACTTTCTCCTCTGCGAAGCCCTTCTGCCATGTGCCACTGTGCCTTGGAGCCAGCCACCTATGGGCTGAAACCTCTATGAACTCTATGAGCTGCAAGCCCATCAAACCTTTCCTCCTTTAACTCTGGCTGTTGGGTATTTTGTCTCAGCAATGAGAAAAAAGACTAAGACACCTGGTGTATGTGAGCCCCTGGGTCCAGCCCCGGCACTGCAAATAAATCCGTAGGCCAATTTTACACTATATATATTTTTACTACATTATAAAAAAATAAAGTGGCAAATCTTATGTATATTGTACCACCCAGAACCCTTCAAAACTCAATGGAGAGGGCCGGGCGTGGTGGTGCAGGCCTGTAATCCCAGCACTCAGGAGGCTGAGACAGGAGAATCGCTCTGAGTTCAAGACCAGCCTGGGCTATACAGTGAGTTCCAGAGCCGTCTGAACTACATGATGAGACCCTGTCTCAAAAAAAAATCTCAATGGAGGGGGCTGGGGATTTAGCTCAGTGGTGTCACTGCCTACCTCAAAAGCACAAGGACCAGAGTTCAATCCTTAGTACCAAAACAAACAAACAAACAAAAAACTCAGTGGAGGGAGTCCCAGCATCCCCATCTTACTGCAGACCATTTTCTGAAGCTATCTCAAAGCACCTTAGAATAGGGCCCAGGAATCCTTCCTGAAAGTCCATCCCATGTAACAGGAGAGTGCATCCTCTGGGGAAACTCTTCTTTCAAGCTTGTGTTTGCACCATGATCTGCCACTCCAAGATCCACTCCCACACCTGTTCCCCTGTTTAATTCCTGTCCGTCTTAGCTAGGTTCCAGCAAGTGAGTGTTTTCTCGACCAGCAGGGACTGTCTTTCCCTCTCAGGCCACACTGACATCTGAGCTCAGTCCTTGCTTGGGCTAACATCAGAGAGGAGATGAGGGGCGAAGTGAAGAGGGTAAAGAGGGTTCAGGGTTCCAGTTCACTCAGTTCCCTCCTGGACCTCAGAGTTCCACTCCTATTCTCTGAGGGCCTTGGCTTTAGCACCGGAGATCTGTTAGGGTGAACAGAGTCATCTTTCCTGCTGCTCTGCTGCCCTTCCAATGAGATCGTCTTATTTTCAGCTGTTTGCCCTATCGCTGCACAAGGTGAGGGTCTCTTTCTTGTGTGCTTGGAAGTTTCCTGGCTGTCTCTGTGTGTCCTGAATCCTGAATTGACAGTCAGCTACCTGACTGCCATTTCCCTTTCTCCTAGGCTTCCGGAGCAGCTAAAAGCCAGCCGACTTGGTCGTCCTTGTAATTACCACAGGCCCTGCACTGCTCAAGTCTAGAGATGTCGCACTCTTCAGGGCTTCCTTTCCATTTGTCTCTATCCCAGCCAAACACAAGTGAGATTCTTCATCGTCGTGAAGTTACGGCACTCAGGGCAGTATCTGCTCACCCTCAGCAACGGGGTCCTCGTGGACTTCTGGCCGCTGACTGATCTTACAGTACCGCTTTCTGCTAGATTCCTGGGGTGAACTTTCTTTGCTCTTGCTGGGCACAGTGGGGCTCAGCTTGTCCAGGCCTTCCTGGAAAGCTTCTGCCTGCCTCTCAGGATGAGCCTCCCAGAGGCTGGGAGGCCGGGTTGCTATCTACTGGTTCTTGCCCCTATCAGTTGAGGCTTCTCCGACAGGGCATTCAGCCTGAACTTCTGGACTGTGCTTGGGCTAGAGGTCGTCCGTGGCACTGGGGAGGATCAGGGTGGTGGGCAGACACCGAGCGCGCAGTTCTTGGCACAAAGTGAGCTGAGTTCGCACACAGCTGTCTGTCACGGCCGGAAATGGAACCAGAAGGGGCCACCGGGCATGCGGCATGCATTCCAGAAGCTTCTATTACAGAAGGCGTTGCAGTCACCTTGACGCAAGATGACCGAGAGAAGAATGATGGGTTTTAATACATTACGGAGAGTCCAGAGGGCTGCTGAAGAGTGCAGTGGAAAATGTGAGAGAGATAAAGGCACCAGGGGTGATCCCCAGGTTTGTGGTCCAAGCAGTTAGAAGAGTGGAGGTGTGGCTCGCTTAGACAGGGAAGCTGTGGGAAGAGATTCCGTGGAGGAGAAGCTAAGAGCTGTTTTAGACCTGTTACATCTGTGCTGCCTGCTGGCATCTGAGCAGAAGTGGTGGGTAGTGGTTGGACCTAAGAGCTGAAGTTCAAGGCAGAAGTCACTCACTCCTAGAGATCCACTTTCTTGTCTATGTTACTGGGAAGGGAGCCCAGGGCCTTTGCATTGCACTACACCCCCACCCACCCACCCACCCACACAGGGTCTTGGTAAATTGTTCAATTGCCCAGGCTGGGTTTGAACTTGCAATCCTCCAGCCTCAGGTTGCCAGAATGCTGGGATGACAGGCGTGTACCACCACGCCCAGCTTGTAGATATAAATTTAAACAAATAAGACTGGGTGAGCTTGCCAGGGAGTGAGTGTGGCTGAACCTGGGGCATTCCAAAATGTATAGGCTGGGAAAATGAAATTTACGTCCACCCTCTCACGCTACAAGACTTCCTGTCTCCGTCCGGCCAGCAGCTGACAGGTCATTACCGATCATGTCCTGTGGACTGGACACTGCCCTGGGCTCTGTGTACACAGTGAACAAATATGAGCAAGTGCCTGGTATCAAGGAGTTCAAACAAAGTGAGGAGACACAGATACTAACAAGCTTGCTAGGCGTGGTGCACTGCCATAATCCCAGCACTTGGGAGGCTGAGTCAGGAGGATCACTATGAGTTTGAGGCCAGCCTCGAGTATGTAGTGAGTTCAAGGCCTGCCTAAACTACATAGCAAGACCCTGTCTCCAAAAAAGAAAAGAAAAACAAAAACAGATAATAGCAAGCAAGCTAATAAGTTAGCAAGGTATCCTCTTCAGAATTGAAATCCCGACAAGTCTGTGTAACTTCAAGGGAATTTAGGTGTTTACAAAATCATGGCTCTGGAATTGACACCCCTGCCATTGCAGCACTGGAAAAATGTCTGAGCCCGACAGGAGAAATTTAAACCAGGAGCAAACCATAAGGGAAGCTGGGAAGGGTGAGTCTGGGCCTTGCTAGGAGGGGGATACAGAGAAACATAGACCTAGCAAGTAACCTCAAAATGTCAGCCCCACGGGGTGACTGCTCACCACCCCAGGCAGCCTCTAGGAAGTGAGTGGGGTGACAAGAGTAGGGACAAAGGAGTCCTGCGGAGAGGGGAGCTAAGGACACCCTTTGAGGAGATGTTTCGGGGGCATCCCCAACATCCATGCTGCTGCAGACGATGTGTTT